TTTTAGATGGAAGGAGTGTTAACCCACTATGTACGCAAGTAGACGTGAACATCAAGATTTGGACCAAAGAAAATTTTCGGTGCATAAAGGAATAAATACTTGTGCTGAGACACGTACCTGAGGGAAGGACGACTAAGAACCCCAATGAAAGTAAATTACACTGACTTGATTGGGTTACTCTAGACTAAAACTACATTTGTATGACCCAAGTACACTCGAAGGATGAAGGAATGACCACCTTAAACATACTTCTCCAGGCTGAGGGACTGAACACCTCATATCTACATCGCCACAACTTCTGCTGTTACCTCTGTATTTCGACTGAAGAATTCTGAGCAAGCAAAACGTCTCGTCAGTGATGATAAACAACTGTACATGTGTAGGTACAAATTTTTCCTATTCTGTAAAACTGAACGTAAATTTCCTGATTAAGGCTTGATTTACCTCTCTCAAAAGGCAAATGGACACTCCTGGTAGGGAGGGCAAGGTGGGGGAGGTCCTTTTTGTTTTGTTTTTGTTAGGCCATAAGATCGATGGCGAAAATGGGGAGGGGGAAGGACTGTAGTAGGAGAGAGCAGTGAAAAATATGTTGCGAGCAGACAGGAAGAGTGAAGTAGCAGGGAAGGTTAAGTGGCCTGACCACTCAGCAGGCAACCCTCAGCATCTTCATGGCACACAATTCACCGTTATCAAGTATTTTAATACAACCTTTCACCAGTGCCTTGCATATCCAGCTGGCATGGCAACCTTGACACACTGGCTACTTTCACAAGAAGGTCTCTGATAAATATTGAACACTGTTGCCACGCTTTCAGTCTCCTCTCCTCCACTCCTACCAGCACATTACAATAGTTAACTTTAACAACGAAACATTAAATAAGAAAAGTAAACAAACATTGCAAGGTACAACAGACATCGCAGCAGCAGCAGATGTCACACCACCACCACCTCCTCCTCCTCCTGTTCCTGCTCCTGCTCCTGCTCCTGCTCCTGCTCCTGCTCCTCCTCCTGCTCCCCCTCCTCCTGCTCCCCCTGCTGCTGCTGCTGCTGCTGCTCTGGTCGCTGCCGCCGCCGGTCATCCGTAAAACTCTTCCGTCCACAACTACACGGATATAATGACCACGGTTCTATAAGCCATATTTATCGACCTAACTTCTCACTTCCTTGGATCGAACATGATTACCTCCGTTTTTTCCCAGGTACTGAATGGCACCTACAGCGTTATTGCTACCCATTAATGCGATAATAATAATAATAAATACTACTACTACTATTAATAATAATAATAACAATAATAATAACAATAATAAATACTGTATATCTTGTGGATTTAAAAAATAGCTATATTTTTCAAGATTCGTTCATTCGTTGTTGATCCACAACACGAAGATTATGACCCCCCCCCCGCGCAACTTATTATTGCTGCCTCACAATCAAAGGTCGTGTGTGATAGTGTTTACAAGTGGAAGCAAACATCACATCACCTGGTCTCAGAGACCCGGTGTAACATCACCTGGTCTCAGAGACCCGGTGTAGTTAGTGTTGTCAGTATTGGCTCTGTGGCTTCACAAGGTGAGACCTCCCTCACCAGTTATTTTACATTATTACTTATATCGGCCCTCAAATCTAAGAGGGTTGCTGACCTTTACTTAGTAAAAAATTATAAGCCCAAGATTGAAATGTTTATTAGTACATATAGAATATCACAATATATATATATTCAGATTTTTGTTGCAGTACATTAATGATTATAAGGATGACCAGAGAGGAGCACTACAGGAAGGTTAAGGTGCCACACTAGATAAGTTTTATTCACACTCAACCATTTACACTCGTGCATTTTACTAAAGCATTTATAAAGCTATGAGTGAAAGGACACAAGTGTGAATATCTTTACTGGATACGTTTCGGTCCTGGAACCTTTTCGCTTCAGTCCTGGGCATTTAGAGTGACTAAGGTCCCAGGACCGAAACTCGTCCCTCCTTGACTCATCCCTTCACCCATATTGTCAGTATTGATATACCTTGTACTTCACAAAGCTGTTTAAAGTATTTACTTCAATGGTAATATTTTAAAGTGTTACGCTTATCTACATTTCATTTGTCAAACATGTTTTAATTACCTCTCGTTTTATGGCACGCATCACTGTCTCGTTTTCCATGGTAATCTATCTAATTGGTCATTAAACCGGTTAATAGTGACCAGGTGCGGTTGATGGCACCTTCCACCTTGAGGCGCTAACCTGTTACACGCACTGACGTTTGACTTTGTCAAGTTGAGTGCTCTTGTTAGCTTAACTACCTACTTAAAGGGTATTTGGCCCAGGAGAGTTATTATATACACCGCGAGATATCTCTCTTATGAAGAGATATCCTAGACTGGCGGTATAGAAGTTACATGCTGCTTTCACGACACTCGTGTAGTCGATAGGTTTTAAATCTAATTAACTATCCAGTAGACCAGATCACATCACTAGGCTTGACCTCTGGTGTTGTATAGTTGTATGTAGTACTTGTTTGATAAATCCATAGCTGGCCCGTCACACATGACAGGCTACCCGTCATATTTTTATAAGGTGCGAAAAGCCTTGCTGTGCAGACCCAGCGGATGCTCGATCCTGGGGACATAGCACTGGTACATCACACAGGTGCATAGCACCTACACATATCAGTGGTTACCTGGAGGTTATTCCCGAGATCAACGCCCCCGCGGCCCGGTCCATGACCAGGCCTCCCGATGGATCAGGGCCTGATCAACTAGGCTGTTACTGTTGGCCGCACGCAGTCCAACGTACGAGCCACAGCCCGGCTGATCTGGCACTGACTTTAGGTATCTGTCCAGCTCTCTCTTGAAGGCAGCCAGGGGTTTATTGGCAATTCCCCTAATGTTTGATGGGAGGCTGTTGAACAGTCTTGGGCCCCGGACACTTAAGGTGTTTTCCCTTAGTGTCCCAATGGCGCCCCTACTTTTAATTGGGGGCATTTTGCATCGCCTGCCCAGTCTTTTACTTTCGTAGGGAGTGATTTCTGTGTGCAGATTTGGGACCATTCCTTCCAGGATTTTCCAAGTGTAGATTATGATATATCTCTCCCTCCTGCGTTCCAACGAGTACAAGTCAAGTGCTTCCAAGCGTTCCCAGTAGTTAAGGTGCTTGACAGAACTTATACGTACAGTAAAGGATCTCTGTACACTCTCTAGATCTGCGATTTCACCTGCTTTGAATGGAGATGTTAATGTACAGCAGTATTCCAGCCTAGAGAGAACAAGTACCTAGCACCGGTATATAGCACTGATATATACAATATGCATGTAGCACCGTGTGAGGGGAAAAGAGAGTATTTTGCATATAAATTTTTATGGATAAACGGGGTTTGACCGTCAGCACCCCCTAGCATCCCGGGAAAGAACTACTGGTGTTTACTTATTAGCCAGGATAAGTCAGGAGTACCACTCTACTTCAAACTCTCCTACCGGTCAGTAGTCCTTTGCACTGCTCATTCTATTAAGTTAGCTGCATTGGCTTACGTTTAATTTGGCTGTTCACGCGACTCTATGCCATAACCTGTGTCCTCTGGTAACGTATATTTTCTTAGCCCGTAAGACTGGCGTTGGGTCGCTCTAATTTACAGACCACGAGGAGATGTCTTCATAGCAGTAAGGCTGTTTCTAGACCAGAGTTCCATTCCCGATCGTAGGTTGAAGCTACGATACCGATTTTCTGGCCGACTTGACTATTCTCATTATTATAATCAAGGGGAAGCGCTAAACCCGTAGAATTATACAGCGCTTGTGGGGGATAAGTGGAAGATATTCAGGCTTAATTCAGGGAACTGGAGCACAGATCCAATTCCCTAAATCAAGAGCCCCTCACCAGCGTCAAGGAACCTTCCTTAAGGGGTGATTATCCTCAATTTCACCTAGTTGAAATACTAGCAAGATAGTTGAAACATCCGACTTGACCAGAGCTTCCGATCACAGGTTAATCTCTACGATATGGGTGTCTTGGTCAAATTTACTAGTCTCAACATCACCTAGTTGTAAATGGAAAATTGTCTGCAACATTTAAGACTTCGTACGTATTCCATATATCAACGAAGTAAGCTTTCATAATACCACCATTTATTGGTTGTGAGATTTGGTCACTATAATTTATTTTTTCTTTTTCAATTGTGTTTGTTAGGTTAACTGATTTCATATTTTCAGTTTATTATTAAAATAAATTTACATTTTTTCTCATATTTTATATCCTTTTCTGATTATGAATTAATTAAATTATTTTTATTCCTTTATTTTTCCCAAAGGAAGGAATTTCGAGAATTGAACACTTTCTGGGTTCCAATCCTCACACTGATACATAGAACCTGTATACAACAATGGTAAGTAGCACTGTTACATAATACCTGAATATAGCACTAGTACATTGCACTGGTACATACCAATGGCAAGCAGCACTTAGTCATGCCGTGGTATGACTAACATTGTAGCAGTAAAAACATGTTCTGCCAACAATAACAAAAGATATAACTTGTTCTCTAGACGATGAACAAGGTCAAACCACACCACAGGCGGGACTTTTACCCGCAGTCAGAGTCGTGAAACTCAGAGTTTCACGACTCTCTGACCGACGGAGCAGAGGCAGTAGCGGAGAACGCCATACATGTAGTCATATATATTATGAATCAAGTTAGTGGGTCAGGGATCACAATAGACGGTTAGTGGTTAAAAGAAAGGCTCAGGAATTGCAACTCGACCCTCACAAATATATGTAAGGATGCATATGTGGCTCTCTTATCTCTTCAGAAAGCATCTCTTCTAATACCATCAAATTACAGCGCAATATGACCCATACAGTTAACGCTCGTTTTATTATAATAATAATAATAATACCATCTTCAGGAATACATGAATCTCTCTTTCCAAGTAATATCGTCTCTCTCTCTCTCTCTCTCTCTCTCTCTCTCTCACACACACACATCTACACAGTTGAGCAGCAGACTCACCACCAATGCTGCTGTTGTAGGCGACACCCACGCCACAGTAGTCATTGAAAGCGACAGCAGCTACCTCACCAGCGCATCGCGTCCCGTGGCGGTTGTCGCCGTTGTCGCGGGGGAAGGGGTCGGCGTCGTTGTCATTGATGTCCGTAGACGCCAGCGGGTCCTGAAGGGAAGGGCAAAAACAACAGTCAGGGTTTAAAAAAAAGTGATAGGTATGTGTGTACTCACCTATTTGTGGTTGTAGGGGTCGATTCACAGCTCCTGGCCCCATCTCTTCACTGGTCGCTTTTAGGTCCACGCTCTCCCTGCTCCAAGAGCTTTATCGTACTTCTTAAAGCTAAGTCTGGATCCTGCCTCCACTACATCACTCTTCACATTGTTCCACTTCCTGATAACTCTATGACTGAAGAAATGCTTAACATCCCTATGACTCACCTGAGTCTTCAACTTCCATTTGTGTCCCATCTCTGAAACATTCTGTTCCTATCCACCTTGTCAATTCCTCTCGGTATTTTATGTTATCATATCCCCCCTGTCCCTCCTGTCCTCCAATGCAGTCAGGTTAATTTCCCTCAACCTCTCCTCGTAGAACATACCCCTTAATGTAGACAGCCTATGTTCAAGTGCAACAAAAGTTCTTTCCTGGTCGCACGTCCACTCAAGGGGAACATCTTTCTTGAGAAGCCGAGTCAAAGGTCAAATGGTGGAAAATCCGGCAATGAAAGTGTGGTAGAATGCAGCTAGGCTTATTAAGGAGTGGACAGCATCCGCCGTCGTAGGTCTAAGGAATTTCTGCACAGCCGAGATTTTGGACCCATCTGTATGCCATTCTGAGTTACTATGTGGCCCAGAAACTATTTCTTTTTTAAGGAACTGGCATTTTGAGAGCTTTACTTTGAGATTAGCCTTGGCTAGTTTTTCCAGTACCCGCTCAAGTTTTACGAGATGTGTAGGGACATCCTGGGGCATCACAATGAGATCATCTAGGTGGACCATTAGGGTGTCTCCTAGAAAAGTACAGAAAATCGTCATCAAACGACTGAATGTGATCGGGCTTCCCCATAATCTGAAAGGGATCCTCTTGAACTGATAATGACCAGTAGGAATAGAGAATGCAGTCAATTCTTTACTTTGGTCATCAAGAGGGATCTGCCAAAACCCTCGGAGGAGATTAAGAGTTTAAAAAACCTTGTTATCGCCAATGTTCTATAACAGGTCATTCAGAACTGGCAATGGAAAAGGATCTGGAATCATGGATGAATTCAGTTTCCTGCAATCAATGACAGTATACCATGTTCCATCTTTCTTGGAAACAAGAATGAACGAGGCATTCCATGGAGAAGTGGACTTCTCAATAACTCCATCATGAAGCATCAGGTATGTACTGGGAGACTCGATGGGAGCGGTACACACCCTTCAATCTCTTGTGGTCGTTATTGGGTCTTCTATGGGGTTAGAGTGATCGAGTACAGTTTGGGAAGGTACAGGGAAAGACGCAAAACTGAAAATGGAGAGTGTAAGATAACACGGCCAAAATCTTGTGACCAGCCGTGTTGTATGGTATGTAAACACTGCACGAGTGTGTTTGAACATGCTAGCTGTGGCTTTGGGTGCGCAGACGAACAAGGCAAAAATACAACACAAAATATTTCTAGAACGGGATGCAAGGTTATGAAACTGAAAGGGGACTGAAAACAATTTAAGTATTTACTGTCTTTCGCTGGGGGAAATTTTAAGAATTAATGGCGACAAATTAAATAAATGAAGAAAACCACTGCATTGAAGAGGTGTTGACAGCAGAACCTGCTGGGATGAGCCACGAAAGACCACTGCGGGTGGCTTGGGACTTAAGCTGGCCTGGCTTAGGGGTTAAGCCAACTGGGGTCCCACGTGGACAGCTGGGTAGAGCTTCTTGCAGAACACAGCTAGGTCAGCAACACATGCAGAATGCGGGCTGGACACAGGAAGCGTAGAATATAGCAGAGAGGAGGAGAAAGGAGGCAGCTGGTGTGGGTTGGCGTCGACTAGGGTAAGCTGGCTCGTCCACGTAGACCAGTGTTATTCACTAATTTTTGCAAGAGAGCCACTTCGGTTAAACACATTGATTGAGAGAGCCGCAGCTACTGCAAGTTAGCGTAACTCAATTAAGTAGTACTGAGCTGCTAGTGCAATATAGTAAATGAGAAAAATTAGACATGGTAATATTAGCCTGCATATCTTGTTATTAATAGCAAAATAAAGACCAAACTTACTTAATGCTCCTTTTCTACTGGTCGGGTCTGGGATGGCTGTTTATCACTATTGCGTTTTTGTTTAACCACAAATCGATCCATCATAAAAGGACACTACTTGACTGCACTTTGGTTTCAAGTAAAACAGCCCATCGCAGCTAGCTTCCACCCAAACAACAACAGTTAATCGTTACTTCATAATATGTTGCCGCAGTCTCAAATATCTTTGCCTATTTTCAAACACAAATCTCCAAGAGTAACGAAATACGTCCAGTCTCCCCCGAAAGCTTGAACTCAACTGATTCAGCGAGACCACCGACGCCTAGAGCTAGACGTGTCCCTGATCAGTTTCCCATAGTGGACACGTATGATTTCTGTACGACTAGGGTAGGTATATTAGAATGTGTTATCTCTTACTGTGACTTCGTCTTCCATCTCACCTCATGAAAATATGTATCTTACTTGAAAAATTATTTTTCTATATATTTTTTTTTATTAATTAATTTATATATTTTTCGAGAGTCGTAAACTGAGTCATCGCGAGCCGCGAGCCGCGCAATGAATACCACTGACGTAGACCTTAAGCAGGATGCACGTTAGGGGCCAGACACACCAAGACAACCTCACCTCGAATTTCTGAAGCCTGAATGGGCATAGGGACGCTGTAGGAGGCAGAAGAAGGTTGCAGGAAGCACTGAGGTGCTGCAGAGCAGGAGAGGAAGTGTACACGTGACTGCTGGGCCCGGGAAGACGCTGTGACGAAAACCAAATTTTGCGGGAAGGAGGTTTTGTCCCTGCTGCCGACGAGATGCTCTGCACAGCTGCTAACGCTGTAAACAAGTGGGTGCCTTGGATGGACATGGATGTGGCTGGATGACCGGCTCTGTTCCCCTCCACCCCCGAAAGACAAAGGCGCACTCTACCGCTGAAGAAACCACTGTCACCACTGTTTTAATGTCTCCTGCGCCACTGAGTCTGGCCTTGCGATTTCTTGCTGGGTAGTGTAGAGGTAGGAGGAATACTACCAACTGACTAGTTTCGGATTAGAAAAAAAAGGGGTTCACAGAGGGCAGAGTGAGGTAGGCCGAAAGCCAGTCCAGGAGGGGAACTGTTGATCCTAGGCAGGCCTATACCGCTAGGTGTCAGCAGTGTAGTTCCCGCAAAAGATGAACTTAGCTGGCAGACAACATAGGCTGTCTACATTAACTCTAGGACTAGTCTTGTTGCAAACCTTTGCAAAATCTATAGTTTCTTGACATACCTGACCAGGTGTGGGTTCCATAATGGCGTTGAATACTCCAATATGGGTCTGACGTATAAGGTGTACAATGCCTTGAATGACTCCTTCCTCAGATGTCGAAATGCTATTCTTAGGTTTGCTAGGCACCCATATGCTGCAGCAGTTGATTGATGTGCGCCTCAGGAGATGTGCTCAGTATGAAACCCCAAAATCCTTTTCTTTGAGTGAGGTTTGCAGCCTTTGGTCCCCTAGCCTGTACTCCCTCTGCCGTCTTCCTTGACTTTCTCCAAGAGTTTGGACCTGGTGGGGTTAAATGCTAGGAGCCAGTTGTTGGACCAGGCTTACAGCCTGTCCAGATCCCTTTGTAGTCTTACCTGATCCTCATCTTTTTTAATTATCATTACCTTCACATCGTCTACAAACAAGGACACTTGAATCTATGCAGTTATAGGACTGACCCTTGTGGAACCCCACTTATCACAGGTGACCATTCTGACACCTCGTCACATACCATTACTCGCTGTTTCCTTCCTGTCAGGTATTCTCTGATTCACTGTGACGTTGATGAAGGCGTACCCACCCTTCCTTCTCCTGTCTTACTTCGGTCACCTTGTAAGACTCCAGTAGATTTGTGACACAGGATTTCCCTTCCCTGAAACAGTGCTGGTTATCATGAATAAGCTCATTCCTTTGTAGGTGCTCTATCATTCTTCTCCGTGACTCTGCATGCTATACATACTAGTGACACTAGTCTGTAGTTTAATGCTGCCTGTCTTCTTTCTTAAAAACTGGGAGTACATTTGCTGGCTTCCACACCTTAGACAATTGCCCTGTCTAGATGGATGTGATGAAGATTGTTGTTAGTGGCACATGCACTGCCTCTACTCCCTCAGGATCCATGGAGAGATGTCTGGTCCCACAGCCTTTGAGGGATATAGTTCACTTAGCAGCCTCTTCACCACCACCTCAGTTGTGTGTATTGTGTCCAGCACTTGGTGTACCCAACAATTCTGGTTTGCTGTAACTCTTTCCGTCTCTACTGAAAATATATCCTTAACTCTCGTGTTGAGCTCTTCATATATTTCTTGGTCTTTTTTATGATCTTCCCTTCTTCCTTCCTCAGTTTGATCACCTGGTCCTTGACTGTTGTTTTTTCTCCTGATGTGGCTGTACAACAGCTTTGGGTCAGATCTGGCTTTCGATGCTATGCCAGTCTCGTATTGCAGCTGGGCCTCCCTTCTCATCTATGCATATTCGTTTCCGGCTCTTCGACTAATCGCATTTTCCTGAGTCCTTCGTCTTCCATACTTTGTACTCACCTAATTGTGGTTGCAGGGGTCGCATCCCTGTGACTCATCTGAGTCTTTAACTTTCTGTCTCAGTCACTCTTGTCGATTCCTCTCAGTAATTTATGTCGTTATTTCCCCCCTATCTCTCCTGTCCTCCAGTGTCGTCAGGTCGATTTTCCTTAACCTCTCCTCGTAGGACATGCCCCATAGCTCCAAGACCAGTCTCGTTGCAAACCTTTGCACTTTCTCTAATTTCCTGACGTGTTTGGCCAGGTGTGGCTTCCAAACTGGTGCTGCATACTCCAATATGGGTCTGACGTACACTGTGTACAGAGTCCTGAACGATTCCTTACTGACATGTCGGAATGCTATTCTTAGGTTTGCTAGGCGCCCATATGCTGCA